ATTAAATTTGGTTCAATAAACTATATGTGGTCATTTTTAAAAGTTTCAATGAACATTCAATCAGTCCGGCCCTCGGCTTGCAGCAAAATTTTTTATTTGGCCCTCCGTCCATTTGACTTTGACACCCCTGTACTAAACCATTTGTCAAACGCCATCATGTCTTCTGTCGTTATTACACAAACAAAAATCTCTTTACTGTTCCTAGTGTTCGTGCCTCAATATGGCTACGCTCGTGAAAGCAATACAACGAACTCAAATGCGTCTTCATTCAATGTTGTCAACTAATATCCGGATTAATTTTATGCAAATTTTCCTCAATTCTCCGGAGAAATTTTCATAAAATTTTGAAAAACCCGGAATTCCGGGAAAATCCGGAGGACTTTCATCTCTGTTATTAGAAAGCAGTTCAACAGTAACCGTGAGAACTTTCACGTTTTATGTTTCCAAAAATTACTTAGACCTGATGTCAGGGAATAAAACACAAATGAAATCATTTTGCTATATTATGGTAATGCTACATTATCATTTCATATATTAATTCCCACCCATTCTTCGCAGTCCATACGGGGAAGCCTCGTGTACTTGCAAGCTTAATTTTGCGGTCGTTCCCTCACTGCATAATGATTTTGATGCGTATGGAGAAGAAAATGCTTCAGTAATAAGCGAACACTGGAGCTCAGATGCGTGTTACTTTCGCTACACGATAGACAAAGACAGTAACTTGATAACATGCTTGCCATAGTACTGTCAGGAAACTTCAGGAAACTACTTACGAAGAGTTAGGTTAGTTGAACGGAGTTACCTTCCAAGTACGGACTGCGTTGGAGTTCCACGTAAAAAAACAGCTTTGTCAGCTTCTCTGTAGTTTATTGCAGTCACCAAAACGTCTGTTAAACAGCATTCATATTGGTATGGTAATTCAAAACACGCTGGAAAAATGAGTAGAATACTTGACGTGGCATCCAGTCACGCCTCATAGGAAACTACTTTTGCTGTAAATTGAAAGTATGTCAAAGGATGTTAGAGAACTTCCTCCCTAGCCCTTCAACATAAAACATATGCTCGCAAGCATGGATTGAAAGGCTGGTTTCTCGATGGGCAGCCAGTCACAAGGCTGACATCTCAGGCAACCAATGAATGGATAGATTGCGTGGCGGTAACACATCCACCAGATGGCGGTGCGGTGAAAATATGCCTTCCTCTCACGCTGCATTTTAATGTTTTATGCAGAATAGTCATTGATTTTTATTCAGCGCTGTCTCCAAAACAAACAAACAAAAAACATATATAAAATCAACAAAAAAAAACTAATACTAAAATAAAAATAAAACAGATAGTGTTGGCGCATAACCTTACTTTTGATCTTGGAAAAAAGTGACAAACTACACTAACCTTGGAAAAATACGGGAGTGTATGAAGAAAATGAGACAAAGAGGAGGCAGGGGCCCTCGATCATTCTGTGAATGGGTATCAGAAGGAGTCAGGAATGAAGGCGGGGGCATTTCTTCTGGAATTTAGTAAAGTTACCACTTTTTGACTATTTGATTTTCTCCAATTTTAGAAAAGACATGACATCCCTCATCCTAAGGTAACTAGGTTGTGTAAGAGTGGACTTCCACTGGTGAAGAAGATTACGTCTTACTATCAGAGATTTGAAGGACAAAAATTGCAGTTGAATGAGTGTAAACCGCACAAAGTCCACTGAAATCCTGCAAATAGCAACAATTGGACAGACATTTATTGACACAATGAGTAATCTGGACATTGTATACCTGGAGAAAACCCACGCTTTTTTGGAATAAATATTTTTATTCCACTGAATAAATGCACTTGAATTAAATGTGATATTTTCCCTTTTTTAATGTTGGTCCTGTATTTAGAAAAAAACGGAACTAGAATCTTAAAAAAACATAATTAGGGGTGCCACTAATTATGGAAGGCACTGTATATTCAAAATAAGTATTTTTATGACAAATAAGTGAAAATAAAGAATTTCCCTTGACACCTATGATTATCTCAATTTTACTTAGATATTAGGTCTGAACAATTCATTCGATTCAAACATTGCAATGTAGAAGAATACAATTTTTAAAATCTCAAAGTGTGCTGTTTGCAAAAACAACCCCCCCCCCCCAAAAAAAAAAACCCTGATGCATTTCGGTTGGTTGTTGGTAAATTAGCAACTTTAATTGAGGTAGATGGACTGCCTCACATTAATTCATGGTTGATGCACCGTTCATTTTAGTGTAAAACCATAAACATTTGTCAAATAAATCTGATATTGTAATACATATTAATTTATTGCTCGTTTGTAAAAAATATTATGGAAAAGGACCGTGAAAAAAGAATCACATATTGAATTCCAATTGCAACACTGACTGAAAAAAGGCAATTCGATTATTTTTCTAAATCGTTCAGCCCTACTAGATATGGAAACTGTTTCCATATCTATGAAAAGTGGTTGTTGTGAGCAACTGAATTCAACATTCATAGATGCCAACATTGTATCAAAGAGATTTTACTGACGTATAAACCCGTGACTCTTAATTTAGTCAGTGATACGTTCACCATGTCTAAAACCGTCGTGTCTTTGCTCAACTCTTGATGCTTCAAAGGGACGTTACAACACAGTAACCATTCCTGCCGTTGGCTGTCTCGAGTGTCAATCAAGAAGATTACGGCTACATCATGACTCTGCCGTCACCGATTGGTTGGCCACACACCATAATCTCGCTGTCCAGTTCCCGAGGTTTGGTTCACCATGTTGGATCAAATGTTCATCATCGTTATATCGTTCTGTGTACAAAAGCGTATCATGCCGGTGACAAGTACTCGTCGTGGGCTAAAAGTGTAGTTCTGTCGCGTTGCCTTCCCGTTCCTTTGCTGACAACAGGACTCCGCGACACGTTCTCGAAAGAACGGAGGGATTACTGTTTTGATTTGGAGACACTGACACCCAGGAGCTAACACTGAGCTGTCAGGTTCAGTGCCGCGGTCTTTTTCAGTCACAAGAGTCTCCATGCAAGCGTTTTAAAGGATTAAACTTTTTCTGAACACCACCCAGTGGCTCTGGGTGAACTTTGTCGAGCCCAAGAGGACAGCGTGTGTGTTAGAAAAGCCAAAGACTGTCGATGGGGGAAGTAAGTTGCCAGTCAGCCCGTCTGCAAGGATATCTCCCCTGCTATTTTGACGTGTGCTCGATGCTTGTTCGCTGTCACAATGTGGAGGATGTCTGAGAAGGCGCCCAGTTCAGTAGTTCTGTGTAATATGTGAGTGAGGTGGGTCACAAGGCCTGGGCCTGCCTGCCGTATTGGGGCCTGGGTGAGGATACACCTCTTCTGTACCGGATCAGCGGCGATAATTAGGGCTCGGAGATTACCACTGTTTACTGAGTAGCTATTGGGCCTGGACTGACTTCCGCGAAGAGGGAGGCTTTCGTTTGGAATAATAGATGCAATTTCCAGGCAGCCTGGAGCACGGGTGGCAGGAACGGCAGCAGTGCTGGACCAGAGGGTCCGGCAAACTTGGACACTTCAAAAAGATGAGAGCTCGTTTTCCCATGTGACAAGCATCAGACCACACTGAAGGGAAGCAGAGTTCAGTCAGCAGGGAGGGGGTGCCAACATGATCATGTGGGACATTTAGGGCTTCCGTTTTTATTTATTGAGGGGTGGGCGGGTTGTTTTCAGTTATTTCTTTTGGTTTTACCTTATTGGTAGTACATCCTGGTGCTTTTAGGTCCCGGTAGAAGTAAGACACTTGTGTAGTCATATTTTCACGTCCGTTATTCCCTCCGCCAGATCCTTGTTTAACCAGAATGGCAGGAATCCCTGTAGATAAAGAGACAGTCAGAGAATCTAAACCCCAAGTCGTGCTGTCTTTATGTTTACTATAAGTTGCATTGATTGTACTGTCGGAGCCTGGTAGCCATTATCATCACTTCGACTTTGATTAGTGAATGACTCTTTGTGGCACAACAGCTTCAAATGTTACAAAAATGATGGCTGCATATAATGGTGGCTCCTCGGCCGTGGCTGCACATCACCCTCACCACCACCACCAGCTGCAGCATCTCCCACCTCCACACATGCATCACCACCACCACGTGGGCCAGCATCACTTGCAGCACCCGGGCTCCGCCGCTGCCGTTCACACCATCCAACAGCACACCTCCACTGCTGCTGCCGCTGCCGCCGCTGTGATGCTCAACCCCGGTCAGCAGCAACCTTACTTCCCTTCTCCGGCCCCTGGACAGGCCCCAGGGCCCGCGGCGGCTGTGGCTCCAGCCCAAGTTCAAGCCGCAGCTGTCAAAGCTCACCATCATCACCACAACCACCACCACCACCATCAGCAGCAGCACACACACCACCTGCAGCAGCAGCTTGATATCGAGCCTGACAGGCCTATTGGCTATGGTGCGTTTGGGGTTGTCTGGTAAGTACCCTTTGATGCAATACAATACATCTTTATTTATATTGCGCTTTCACCACAGCTGCAGCTGTAACAAAGCGTTTGACAGAGCAGTTAACATAAATTAACAAAATACATTTGACATAGCAGTTAACATAAATTAACAAAATACAGTAATATGAAACAACACATCAGATATGGACAGTCAATGCAATCATAACCACTATCCCTACATACGCCTTGTTGTTTGAAGCAGTTATAGATGGAAGGAGAGTTTCAAAGTGTCCTTTCACCAGTGGTTTAGAGACGTCATGCTCAAAACATGCATAACGTCCCATACGTCTGCTACTAGCTAAGGTTGAAAGTAAACAAGCTCTAGCATCCATTGACGAAAAAAAAATTGGTTCACTTCTATCCCATGTAAATCCACTTCAATTCCAAACCCTGACTCTCAGTTCCAAATAAACATCCGCACTCCACACTGACGCTCCTCTATTCTCATCCTCAACTCCAGCAGCCATCCATTCAGCTCCATGAACACAGACTGACACACATCTCTGCTGAATAAAATAGGGCTGTGAAAAATGCTGCCCATTACAGGCCCCCCCCCCCCCCAAAAAAAAAAAAAAAACACAAGCGCATCGGGGCTGTCAAGTGGCAACTGTCAGATAGCGCTGACATTCACACCATCAAAATTTATGCTGGTGCATGCGTGCTGCCGAGAAGGTGCAACCTTAAAACACAGATTCTTCTACAATGTCGTGGCCAAAACGCTGAAAGCAGTCCACAGCGGGTCCACACGAAGGACAACAAACACCATATGACAAAACTAAAGACAAAAACAACAAAAAAGCAGAGCTCTTGCAGACGGCTGTCAACTGCGGCACCATCTTGAAAAGAACTGCTTAGAAGCAAAAGTCACTTTATTAAGCAGGCTTTTCCAGAGAGCTTCATCAAGTACACATCACACACTGGTATTAAGTTGTTCCACTATCAGAAATTACACCTATTGGGCCCCTCTCATCAATAACTAAAATGTTAGAAATGTTTCTAGGAGTTTACAACCACTGCTTGCTTCCACTTACACAACAGTGGACCCCCACATATTCGCGGTTCAGCACCCGTGGATTTATCTGTCCGTGTTTGTTTTAATCCCAATATTTAAGAAAAAAATATTTGCAATTTTCTTTTTTCCGTTAATGGGTGCCAAAACTTGTTTTTTAAGAAAGCGCTTATTGGTCGTTTCACTGCATTTTTTCAAGGATTTTCTGAAGCCAACTTACAGTGCATTTATAACAGGCCTCAATTATATGTGTGGGGCTTTTTTTTCTTCACAGGGTGGCCGTTGCGACGAGCAGGGGTCGACTGTATTGTCAAATTAATACTCACTTCTCAGACAATGGCAATCAAATTACGGTACCACGTCCTCCTAGAAAAAAAGTGTCCTGAAAAAGCAAAAGTATGTGCTATCAATATATACCAGGGATGGGCAAATAGCAACCCATGGAACACACTCTGACCGGGCCCTTGAATAATTCCCCAACCCTTCCAAAATGAATAATAAAATAATAAAACATTCGGGGACGCAAGCATGTGTCCTCGACAGCAGTTGACCCCTGCATAGTCACAGCCAGGGGATGTGGGGATTTACAAAAAAAATAAATAAATGCGTCGGTCATACGCAGTTTTACACTATTTGCCGGCTGTGTAGTTTTAAGTTGTAATATCAGCATTCCCTCCTAGATGGCAGACGTGGTGTGGTGGCACTTGCACCAAGTCACTGTGAGTAGGCCTCATAATTTTGGGGGGATTTGGAATGACATGGACAAACATTGCACCTGAATCCTAAAAAGATTTTGAGTAAGTTGAACCCCCCCCGCGCAAAATGAGTTATTGCACTTAGTGTTGGTTTCATGTTGAGCAATGTTTTTTTTTTTTCCTTACTTCAATGATAATTTTTGTGCAAGAAAGCTCCTTGCACTGGAAAAAATACATCATGTAATATCAGACAGGTGGTTTTAATCAACTGGTCCTGTAAAATTCATGTTCAATATGCTTGGGGTAATTGTTCATCTGCACTGTGAGACACCATCCAATGAATTGTGAAGAATTTGACTAAATATGAGCACATAATATTGACCGAAACATTTCAGAATTCATCCTGGGGCCTTTGTCAGCAGTCACATCATCACTAAATGGAAGGGAACCAATTCCATTTGCAGCCCAACATGCTCGACTGGCCATGGGACAACTGAACAGCGAATAGTCTCATTACGTTTGCTCCCTTAAAAAGTGGGGGGCACATTCAAGATTCCTCCACCATTTAACTGATTTGGATGTACAAAGTAAATACCCTCAAATTAAAGCTGAAAGACTACAGTGAAAGCACATCTTGTTCGTTTGATTTTGCATCAATTGTGGTGGTATTTCGAGCCAAAAAGATTGTTGGATGTGCCAATAGTCATTGATGTGGTCGTTGGCTATATTGTGAGTAGAAATTATTATTTATTACTAACTCAGAAAAGGTTCCCTGCTGTGGTAGCCACATAGTCCCCTTTGAAGATACAAGTTGGGGCATGGTTGTATGCCTGCCTTTTTCCTCCCTGAAAAGGTCAGAATCATTTGAGCATTCTATGAAAAAACGTTTGTCTCACATACAATCTGTGGTCAGAGTAGGGTTCCCACAAGCCCTTATTTGGCATTAAATTGTCTTAAGTCAATTTTTCCAAAGTTTCTAAAACTGTTTACACCTAAATGGGAATTTATGATTGTAAATAGTCTCAAATTTCAAAATAAAATAATATGGAAAAAAATGGCTGGGTGACTCTCGTGGTAACATCACACAATCACGACACTGTAACCAACAAAACAGTGATAGGATTTTTGTTGGGCCACTTAAACCGTTTGAACCCAAATTTGTCTTTGCAAAGCGAGTGTATACATTTAATTCCTTGGACCTCTTTAGTAGATATGTATGACGAGATTGAGTCTCTCTTCACTCATCTATAACTACTTGAAACAACAAGGCATATATAGAAATAGTTATGATTATACTAGATTGCATTATTGTCAATGTTTTATGTGTTGTGTTGTTTTATTGTTAATATGTTTATATGTTGTGTAAAGCGCTTTGTTTCATCTGCAGCTGTTGTGAAAGCGCTATAGTAAATAAAGATGTATTTCATGCTTTTTATGTTGGTTATGTTTGTGAAAATGTATGTTATATACTCACCGAAAACTTGTTGCCAATGGGAAAAGTAAAGTAAAATTCCCAAAATTGCTACAGTTGACCAATTTATCCATGCTGTATTTTATGGGCCATTAGGTGCACAGTATTGTTCGGCACAATATCAATGAATGGGTCAATTTTAAAATATTTTCATCCGTAAGGCACTCTGGGTTATAATACTCCTTTATTTATTCAGCACTTTGAGCTGCAGCTGTAACACATCCCTTTCCAGAACATTTAACAATGAAACGACAGAACACATTGTATCACATAAAATGTCAACAATTGTAACTGTTCCATCTATTCCGTACACTTTGTTGTTGAAGCGGTTATTGATGAAAGAGGAGAGAGAATCAGTGTCCTTTCACCAGTGGTTCCGAGGTCATGATCACAGCATGCATGATGTCACATGTCTGCTACAAGGTAAATTTGAAAGTAAACAAGAAGCTGTAGCATCCATTGGCAAATACTGATATTGGTTCAGAAAGGGCATTTTTTGCGAAGGATTGTATGTCAAATTATTTGTAATTGTACCGTTTGTTTAGGATTTAGATTTAGCCCTACTATGCCACACGAAATCTCGGCAAGCGCTTCGTGTCTTTTGCTCGCCATGCAGTTACATGGGCTAGGCTTCAAAGAAGCTGTTTCGTATTTAAAATGTTTATTTCACACTTCAAACTGACGCACTGAAAAGCAAAACTGTGAAAGGGCAGGGCTACCAAATATTAAGAAATTACTGTCTGAAAGCTAATTTGTAACACCCGTCACACATTGAGGTACAGTATTGACGAATTCTACAAAGGAAAAGAAAAAAAGAAAAAAAATCGTCAGCGATGGCCACATCGCAAGCGAATGCTTGTTTTCTCCGCTCTGTGCGTGCCCTGTCTGGACGTTAATGCGTAGTGACGTCATCATTTATGCGCTTGAAAATGGCGGTGTCCTACCAGAGCTTGTTTGTTTCTGATGGGAGAGCTTGTTTCAATCTATTTGAATTTATTATTATTATTTTTTTTTATCAAGCCGTTGCTTTAATAAAAGTGTTTTAAAAAAATCACGACTACAGTGCTAAAATAGTGATCGTGATGCTTGCGTCAATTTGCGCGTCACACCGCTCTAAAGCGGCTCTTTTAATGAAAGCAATGGACCATGGACGCAGGTGACCGCAAATCAATTCACTCAAAAATTTCAGACAGTTTAAGTTAAGTGGCTAATATAATATTTACCACAAATACTTTTTAATATTGTTTCTCACCAATTCTCGGTGGCTAATATAATATTTACTACAAATACAAATACTTTTTAATATTGTTTCTCACCAATTCTCGAAAATTGAGCTACATAAAGTCATTAAGTGCCTTCTTGAAGATTTCGATCTAACAAGGGACTCATCTAGACACTGAAATATTAAATTTAATATAGTTTCCCATTTCAACTGTTTCCTCTTAAAGCAGGGGTGTCAAACTCATTTTTGTTGCGGGCCACGTTTGAGGGCCGTTATGATGTTTAATCTCATTATCACATTATTGATTCTAAGGGTAACAAAATTATTGTGAAATCTCAACGTCATTTATTACACATGACAATTTGACATTTCGGTACATTTTTTTTTTTTAGCAAGGATCATGCAAGTTGACACACATGATTTTCTTTCAGGGGGCGGGGGGCACAGAAAATGATGTGGCGGGCAAGATCTGGCCCCTGGGCCTTGAGTTTGACACGTGTGTCTTAAGTTGTCGTCATTTTAGATATTTTGACACTTCCAAAACCTGTCCTACTGACTATTTGTCGTATTCCTACTTAGCTGGTCTAAGATCATTAACTGATCTTACATACATGCACAACCATGAACTGACTATTCTTATGTTGCATGCTGAAATGCTTGCAACGCAAGGTGCTACCTGGGCTCTGAGCAACTCGGATGTCATTTTTCAGTAAGCAGCAGGTGGCAAAATGGCCGCTCCCTGAGATGGACAAAAATGGGTGGCTTTTACTGCTAAACGCCTATTCCATGAACTCGATTTTAATCAGAATATCATATTTGGACTATTGGGGCTGCACAGAACATATTAGAGTAATTCCCTTTTAAATCTTGCTTAAAAAAATAAAATACAACAAAACTTGCAGGTAATTTCTCTGTGTATCAAGGACCCATACCTTAACAGGGTCATTTGATTGTTGACATCATATAGTGCTACAAGGTATTGACTTGCATATGCGCCTACCCCATGGTATTATGGGGAAAAATGCCGAATGGAACTAATGCACTGCAAACATAAAACAAACAAACAAAAAAACTCAAAATCAAAACATAAAAATTACTAATAAACAACGTTTACTTTCTTGATTTTGAAATGTATTGGTATAATTTAGGCCAAATGCTAAAAACATTGCATTTTTTTGGCTTGTGCATTCGTTCGAGTGTTGGAATTAAAAATTTTTAAAAGACTTACATTTAAATTTGCCTTAATATTTTGAAGCCATGACTGAGGGACGAAGCAAGAGTCTTCATCACGTCAGGTGATGCACATGTTCCAAATACACTCTTGATGATGAAGTCAATTGATGTTGTAGCAACAAGAATCCAGGAAGGTATTGTGCTCAATCTTTGAGGTTCTACTTTATATTAGGCAACCTTGAAATTGGGCGTAAAGGTCTTGGTTATAGTACAAGTATTATGCTGCTGGTGATAATTATTTAAAGTTGCCCACAACTGACTGGGGCTCTCAGAAAGCACATCAGTGGTTGGCCTCAAATATCTGTCAGCGCCCCTGTTATTGTTGGTCAGTAGGTTTTGTTTTAGCCACATTTTATTTATTTATCCATGATAGGATTGGATGATATACATCTTTATATTGTGCTTTCACAACAGGGGCAGCTGTGACATTGACATCAATGAAACAGTTTTCTTTGTCAATTGTACTCACAATTGAAAATGGCAACATATAATTAGTTTTGAGTTTTATACTCGTCTAAATTCATGACCCTTCAATGAGCCGATTGCAGTGAAAATCAGTTCAATGACCCCCCCCCACACGCCCAAAAAAAAGGAACCTAACGTGCTAGTATGGCTGCACGATAAGTTTGCATGCTTCCTTCGACTGGTCTTGGCACTTCTGAGAGATGTTTGAGTGGCAGTCTTGGTACAGGCAGGGATTTTCATTCCTGTGCCATCTGTTTTCCTTGACTGATCCTATTTGAGAAGGTTTACTGAAGGATGCTTTGAAAAGGGCTCAGTGTAAATGCTCTTACTTCGACCTACTGTGCTCCTCACAAGACTTCAGTCTCGATATCCCTGGATTTAAATCTTGTTTGACTCATCAGTAGAAAGGTGTTCAAACCTGACCATTTTTTTATACCAGGGCCGCATGACTCTTCTTCCACCCACAGGAAGTTAAAAAAAAAAAGCCTCAACCCATTCCTTCATGAAATGGCTTGAGTGGAACACCATACATTATTGACCCCATAGAACCATGATGCTTAACTTCAGATGTGAGGATGTTTGTTCTTTTTTGATCATGCAGCCTTGCTCTCTATCATCAGTCCCGATGTTTTTTATAAATACGGTCATTGAAATGAAATGTAAATCGATGATTGCTGTTCACGAAAATGATTCTTACGAAATAACTTTTGTACTCTTCCCTCAGGTCAGTCACAGATCCCAGAGATGGAAAGCGAGTCGCCCTGAAAAAGATGCCCAATGTCTTCCAAAACCTTGTTTCCTGCAAGAGGGTGTTTCGAGAACTGAAAATGCTATGTTTCTTTAAACATGAAAATGTGAGTACTTTCATATTTAATTAAAACATGACATCAAACAGAACAGGGGAAAATACATAAATGATCAACACAAGTTCTTGATGACACTCATGTACAGGTGTGCTCCCCTTTTGTATTTGTGGATGTATGGTAGCTTCTTCAGAATGAGCCAATTAATACACAGTTATACTGTATAGAAATATAAACTTTAACTGAGCTAGCACAGTTCCTTTTCATCTCAAGCCCGGTCAACCTATGAATCTTCTTTTAAATGTGGGAGAACCCACAGACTATTACACAAACAAGAAAATCTACATATGTGTTCTTACTGCTGCTGTTGTGCGTGTGTGTGCGTGTGTGTGTGTGTGTGTGTGTGTGTGTGTGTGTGTGTGTGTGTGTGTGTGTGTGTGTGTGTGTGTGTGAAATGATCAGATCAGTGGGGGGAATCAACTTGATGATGAATGTCTTAGCAAGAATTATGTCAGTCTGAATGCAAAAAAATGTTGAGCATTCTTAGCTTTTACATTGTAGTTATTGCTAACGATAAAATATGAATATCAGAATCAAAGTATTGGTTTTAATAGAAGGTTTGTCCCAGATGTGGTCTCAACTATGTTAATGCTCTCTCCTCAGGTTCTCTCTGCTCTTGACATTCTGCAACCTCCACACATTGACTACTTTGAAGAAATGTATCCTTGACATTTACAATTGCCTTAATCTTGTCTGTTGCTCAAACTGAAATTTTAAGGAGGATATCGAACAGAGCTAACCACAACGGGTTTGTGTTTTGTCTCTTCCTTGAACGTCTCCTAATATTGGCATCATTGCGACTTTAAGTTGTGCCTGCTGAAAGTGAAGAGCGTAAAGTTCAACTTAACTGATGCGATCCTCCTTAGGTCTAAGCTTTTGCATTAGTTCCAGCATCTGTCACACGTGTCTGACTGTTGACACTTTGCTGTTCAGTAACTTGAATGAAAACATTCCTCTTTCATGTTAATCAATATCTTAAAATCTAAAATGTAGTATTCAGAAGGTAATCCAATTGGTTGCTGCGGTGTGTGCATTAATATGACCTCCTAATCGTCAATCAATGCTACCTTGACATTATCACGATGCAGAGGTACCTTTTGAAGTGATGCTAAAAGACTATAAACGGCAAAAAACAATTGGGGATTTAAGAAAATCCTCTGCACTGCAGCGGATCTAGTGAGGGGGATGTTGTATTTGATGAAAAGTTCTACCCATGCATGCCTCTCTGTGCTCCTTGGGGAAGAGGGAGGACACACTACCAATATGCAAAATCATTTTCACACACAGCATCGTCTAATGTTTGATAACGGTTGCACTTTTGATTTGCTCCGAAGTGCTCAACATAATCACGTCCTCTCCTGTCAATACTCCGGGTAACTATGTTAGTGTCATTTTGACCTGATTGAAGAAACTGGTGTATGGCAAGAGACAGAGTCTGACTGACTCAGAGGGTGGCAGCACGTGCTCCAGTCTACCGCTAGCTTTTCCTTTTTCATGAGGCAGGGAAGAGTGAGTTCCCACATTACAGTTGGACTTGAATTGATTGTATTTGTCACTGGCTGGCTGAATTCTAAACAGTAACTCAAATCTATAGTGGCTCTTTCCATTTTTGCACACCACTGTGGAACAGTACGACTGCACTGCTCATTGTAGCTCCAGCTCTCTACAGCCTTGAACAATTGTCATTAATCAATATTCCACAGCACCAGACACTTTAAAGCGCTCAAGGACTTTCTGTATCATTACACATCTAAAGTTATACGACAATTACCGCTAATGGTCACTTAAAAATGGTGCATTGATTATACGCACCAACTGCCCAACATCATTGTATATTGCACCAGTGTTCACTTTATCTCTGCTCGATGACTCTGCACATTGTCCCGCAGCTGTCATTGAGTGGTACTATGGCACAATGGTACCCGGACATGACGAAAAGTCTTTCGATACTTACATGTCATGTCTTTGTTTATTGTAGTTATTTGTTATTGCAATACTAATGTAGCCTATACTACAGGAGGCAAATTCCTTGTGTTTATCCTCAAATACTTGGCCAAGAAAGATGATCCCGATTCTGATAATAAAATCTTGGCTGTCTTCATCTTTTATGCTATTGGTTACGTTTTCTATTTTGACTTAACTTACCATTGGCCAGATATGTAGTGACTGAACTGATGCAAAGTGACCTCCATAAGATCATTGTGTCACCACAGCCCTTGAGCTCAGACCACGCCAAGGTTTTTCTCTATCAGATTCTACGAGGTAAGATTTTCCAGTCATGTTTTTTGTTGTTTGTTATGGTCAGTGCTATTGAGGTTATTGATTAACATTTGGGGGGGAGAAAGTCTTCTAGACATAGCATGTTGTGTGGGTGCTTTTAAATACTGTACTTTGAATTTGTTTTAACTTGCCATTCTTGTTTAATTATCACCAGGATTGAAGTACCTTCATTCGGCTGGCATTCTTCACCGAGACATTAAACCTGGCAACCTCTTGGTCAACAGCAACTGTGTGCTAAAGGTGTGTGGCAGTGCGACACAATCATTATAAAAGACAAGGCACAGACAGGCCAGTTCTGTTGTTTTTGCTGTACACTGAGCTCATTTGAGTTTGACATTGAAGATGAAAGTGGGGGATCAATAGCTCAGGTTTTATTTCCAGGTACCTGTACTGCTTTCTTCCGGATCAGATAAATAACTTAAGGATGTGTCCCATTGACATAACCACATTTTTTGCTTGTTGGTGTTTGTTTTGGGGACACACCAGATGATGCAAACCACTTACTGCTAAGAGGAATAGGTAGGCCAGGCTCTAATTTTCCCAAAAGTAGATATGAGCCAGTTGTCTTCGGGCAGTAGGCGGGGTACACCCTGAACTGGTTGCCAGCCAATTGCAGGGTACACATAACCAAAACCAAAAACCAAAACGCACGCAGGCACTGGGAGAACATGCAAAGTCGACACAGGAAGGCCAGAGCCGGAATCGAAACTTCCACCTCTGCACTGTGAGGCCAACGTGCTAACCAGTCGCCCACCGTGCCGCCCCTTGTAACTAAATGTCTTCTCTCTTTCATTTCTGTTGGATCACTTTTGACCCTAGTGAGGATAAGCGGTTTGGAAAACGAATGAATGAATGAATTACTTTTGCTGTTTACAAACAATTACCTTAGCCTGAGAATCAGAATCAGATGTGAAAACCTGGAATCTGTTTTATTGTTTGATATCGAAATGTTTTCGGTCAACAGCAAAAATAATGGAATAGAAACTTTGAATTATTCTGTTTCAGATCTGTGATTTTGGCCTGGCACGAGTGGAAGAGACTGATGAGTCGCGGCACATGACTCAGGAAGTGGTGACGCAATACTACCGAGCACCAGAGATCCTAATGGGGAGCCGCCACTACTCCAACTCAATCGATATCTGGTCTGTTGGGTGTATCTTTGCTGAGCTGCTGGGGCGAAGAATTCTCTTTCAAGCCCAGAGTCCCATCCAGCAGGTAAACAGTGGATCTGAATATACACACTGTGTTCAGCTAATTATTATACATACAAAATGTTTCTTAAATAAACAATTGCATAGGCTTCTCCTATTTGATTTGATTGCTTCCCTGGTGAGCGTTACCAATTCATTACTGATGGGCTCGTTCCTACAAATCCACACTTGAAGAAAACCAATGCCCTTGAATAGTTAAAAATGTTGCGTGTGACTCAGTGGAGACAAGTGGTTCATTCTGATCAAAGCTTCTGAAGGAACCTTTCTGTCGGTATTGAAAGAGCAATTGATATTGGGCCACAGTAACAGTGAAGCTGCTGAAGTCTTGGTGTCATGCATGAAGCTGTATTTTGGCCACCTGTAACCAAGTCTGACAAGGAGAAATGTTTGCAATGGGCTCAGAAATGCAGGAAGACTATTTTTCAACAGCGGATGCAAAGGTCTCAAAAGGACGATAGAAGCTTTAGCCACTCTGGGTAAAAAGTGGAAAAAAATCTCACGGTGTGGGCCCCATCACGCCCCCGACCTTAACCTTATTGAAATCCCTCCTCAAAAGGAAGATCAGTCAAGGTGCACAGCAATATATTGGACCTTCAAACGGCATTCTCCAATGAGGTATAGGAAGTAACTCTGCCTGGACTCCAAATTTCAAAGACAAGAGCGATCAAGAATTGGACACACTTCTTTTATATGGCTAAACCCTTTCAGGGACAGAGGTTACTACAGTGGACATTTTATCATGTTATCAGGTTACAGGGTACATGCAAAGGTTAAATAAAGAAACAACTTTTCTAGATTCTGTGTAAAACCATTTTGAGGAAATTCCTCATCTCACTTGTGGTTTGAGCCAGGCACAGCTATCTAATATTTAGATGCCCTTGTTTTAACACATTGTTTGGTCTCTCAATAGCTGGACTTGATCACTGACTTGTTGGGGACTCCTTCGATGGAGGCGATGAGGACAGCGTGCGAAGGGGCTCGTGCACACATTCTCAGAGGACCGAACAAACAGGTAATCAGTTTGCTCCGAAAAATGTGTTTTTCTGTCTGTCATACTGAATTGTCACGACGTCTTTGTTTTGCTGATGACCTTTGCACACTTGAACAATGAATGACATTACACCTCAAGCTGTAGCACAAGACCAATGCACAATAAAGTGTGTTCAGGGAGGGTGCTGCTCCATGATTTTCAGTCTGCCAGCATTACGTTATTTGAATATTATTTTGATTTCTTAAATTACTCATCATAATTTAAATCCGTCTCGCAGTGTCCTATGGCCGGCGATACAGATGTCCAAATTTTAAATTTGAACTTAACCAATTCTTTAACCATGAAATACCCACTAGGGTGGTCCATTTTGGAAAAGTTTGTCGGATTCGTCGGGCCGGGTCGGAAATCTTGTCGATACTATGACACAAGGATGTGTGCAAAATTTTATTCCGATCGGATAATTTTATCCCGTCCCGCAGAGCGACCAAAGTTTCCCCTATGGAAAGAATGTTACGGGGCTGAATGGTAGTACGGTTTCTCCCGTACAGTAAGGATTTTGTTTTGCTCAGTTCGCACTTGCAATAATTCAAAGACGGAAGACAGGAACGCATGTATTGCAAAAAAGGCAACCGTGGTGATCCTGCAACACTGGTGAGATTGTTGGTCCATGTTAACTGGTCCATCTGTCTATCTGTACATCTGTCTACATCGCGCGACTGTCTGGAAGTGATCCGATCCGTTTTGCATTTTTTTCAGGCCGGGAGTGGTGC